ATACACCCAATAAACCAAGAATTGTGCCATGTGAACAACTGATTTAATATTCTTCCCAATGATGTATATATTGCAAAAATGTAATCTGCGAAAAAATTGGAAACAACAAAAGGATGTCGACTTTTGCTTTTTGGATACTGCTGGTGTCGCTGGTTCATGCTACATTTTAGGCAAGACCGATTAGATATGTGGCACGGCGGTATATTTATACGGCCTCTATATGCAACCTATTGGATGTCCGTGGTTCACGAACACTGGTACTCATTTTACGCAACCAGCGTAACAGGCTATGTGCTATGTTCAGTGTCTTTGTCGATGCTGACGACAATGGGCGTGAACCGATTTCGTGCCATGCTGCTGGGACTGAGATACAAAGAGAATGTAACTCTGAGGCGCATTATATCGCTTTAGCTATCGTCTGGGTTGTATGTATAGTCTCTGGTTTATGTTTTGATGCAAATTACCGTTTAACTTTTTTAGCGCAGCTTCATACTGATGCCGTCCAGTCTGGTAATCTTAATCGCCTCGTGCACAATGATTTTCCGCGCACTCAATCATCATCTGGCTCAATTACAAGATCATGTTCAACAACAGTCGAACAAAACAAATGCACCGAACATGGCGCGATACAGAAAGGCAGAGTATAGTGCACTGTGGGTGCCGTCAGCGTTGGTTGTCTGTTATGAACCAAACTTAATAACGGAAATTGTGATATATTTGAGTTTAAACCGATTATCGAATTTTATCATGATCATCATAATCATTCGCCATAATGGCGAACATTTCAGTTTTCTTTAATTCCACTATAAACCCGTTTCTTAACCATTGGAAGATCAGAGATATAAAACATGCAGTAAAGCAGACAATCAGATAAGCAATTTGCCATGCGTAGACATCGGCCTATGTTCTGCTTCTCCAAAGCTATTTATGGTTTTTGGAAGAGAGGAGAAGATATACCATTTAATAAAAAGAGTGAGGAAAACGATAAAGAGCTACTTCCTATTTTATATTTTGTTCATTACAAGTTATCTTAAGAACAACTGAAAGGTAAAAAATCCTAGGTTGGTAATGAAGTATATCACAAGAATATCATGTGCCGAATTTGCACACTTATCATGATGCAGTGAAGTGGACATTATTCTTTTCAAGCAGAATGTGCTTACGAATTTGTTGTTTTGTAAAAACTGGATGAGATATGTCACTTTGGCTCAGATGTACGGTTTAGTGTTAACGGATTGTAAAAGGAGCCACGGGCTCGATTTGTTTATAACAAAACTTTGTAAATGTGTCGGCTTTTTTTCATCTGTTTAAACATTTTTAGAAGGTTGATTATCACTATTTTCACATAGATTTATCTTTTGAGACCACTCGTTTGCCAGAAAGCAAGTATCCAAATTATGGCAGAAGAAACTTATGATAAGAAATAGTTCAAAAACTCTAACATGATTTATAAGAATCGTTATCTTTCAGTATGTTGCTTGCATCAATTACGACCGTTTATGATTATCGAGTGCAAAATTGTAGTCCTCAGAGGGCTACCATCGATTTCTATTTTTATGACTAAATTCAAATATACAAATATTCCCGAAAACATAAAAAAGGTTCCTTTTAACTTTGTCTTGCTGAGTCCTGAACTAAGCAAGACAAGGCAAGCCAAGCTGAAACTGATCTTGAAACAGAATTATGTAAAACGTCCCAGGCTGTTCAGCATAACTCTTTAAGCAGAGCTCATACGTAGTTGCTGTTGTTATCAGTAGCCTTTTCCAGGCGACCATTTAGTAAAATGGAGCGAAATGGTACACGGCACGATAGCAGCGGAGTGAATAAACGGGGGAGTTTTGGGTCACGTAGGGTCGGGTCAGGTGAACGCCGTTTTCTACCTGACTCGACCCAAGCCTCACTCTTTTTTTAATCCGCCCTGAGTATCGCGCCGTTTACTGTGCACTTTGAAATAAAAGAAATAAAAAAATTAAAAAGACTTGTTGCAGAATACGAGCAACTACGACATATATTTTCTTCGAGTCAGTAGTGGAGCAACGTATTACGAAAGAGGAATCGAGAGCCAAATAAATGCACCTGTCGTATACAAAACAACTATAATTGTAACTACGGTAATGTTTTGCAATCAAATAATGACTCGACACAAAAAAATAAATTTATCTTACTAAATGGTTCATTAAGTAAACAATGTAAAAAGCTTTCTGTAGCTTTATGCTTTGTGCCTATGAAATAATTGAATATTTTTATTTGGTAGCAAAACCGTATTGTTAAAAAAACAAACTAGTACATGTATAGTTTTTCAAAAAAACAAAAGAAAAACTTTGGCTAAAATAACATGGTATTGGTGACCATAGATTCATCCAAAGGAAGCCTTCCAACTGCTTCCTGACCAAGTAACATCTGCGCTGCAATCTTTTTGTTGTTTAGGTTGCGTACGTATGTGATCCTAATTCCGACAAGTCCCGATATCACAGCATTTGCATAAGGTTTTCCTTACTCAAACACTGCTGTTTTCACTTTTTTTTAAACAATGGTTACATAGAGTATAAATTTGTCCTTGTTATACGATGCCATATCCAAAATGTCGTTAACCAATTACAAGTAACTAAGTTAAACAATGTTCAGTAGCAAACTTCCGCCTTAAAACCAGAGATGATTTGCACACACAATGTTTCCCGTTTGAGGAGCATTCATATTATCCATGATTTTTTGACCAACATTTCCACCCTTTAAAAGGTGCGACACGTAGAGACAAAAAAATGAAATATTTTTGGAATAACTTTGCATCTCTAACCAAGCTGTTAACAATTCATCGCGTCTCAAGATCGCGTGTATTAATTATTCGTGTAAAGCAACGAGTCCGATGCAAACAACACTTCGGCCACTGAATTGATCAAGGCGTCGGCCGACGGCAATCAGTCGACTATCGACCAACTATCGGTCGACTTTCGATATCCTATCACTGAAGGTATATTTCAGTAATGAAGTTATTTTTATGTTTTGTCGGGATATTGACTTATCACATATGCAGTTTTACTTTTCTCTAAACAAAACAACAGTTCATTTCATTCTCATCGGTCAACATTCTCCTCTCCATCATAGCATTTCTTGGGAATTCTCTTATCCTTTTTGCTCTTTACAAGGAATCTTCTCTCCATCCGCCATCCAAACTCTTGTATCGTTGTCTGGCAACGATTAATTCGTTGGTTGGTCTTGTTGTCCAGCCTCTCTCTGCTACCTACAGGATGTCCTTGGTTCACGAACACTGAAGTTTTTGTCGATACGCAAGGGACGCAATCGTTATATCAAGCTATGTATTATGCGGAGTCTCTTTGATGAAGATGACGGCCATGAGCGTAGACCGACTTCTCGCCATGTTGTTGGGACTGAGATACAAAGAGATTGTAACTTTGAGGCGCACGTATATCATTTTAGCTATCGTTTGGGTTGTATGTCTAGTCACTGGTTTATTCTTATCTCAATTACCATATAGGCCTTTGGTTCCTCATCATAACTATACCACTTGGCCTGGTAATCTCAGTCATCTCGTACACAGAGATTTTCCGCGCTTTCGTTCGTCATCAGGCTCAAATACAAGATCATGGCGCGATACAGAAAGGCGGTGTACAATGCACTGTAGGTGCAGTTAGCTTCAGTTGTCTGTTATGTTCCACAGATTACAGGGAGAATTGCTTAGTTTCGCTTAGTCATGAGCTAAGAGAGGGAAGCTGAAACTAATCTGAAAACAGATTATGAGGAAATGATGTAGAATGTCCCAGGCTGTTAGGCAGAGCTCATATTAAGTTGCTGTTGTTATCACTAACTTTTCCTAACATTCTGCTTTGGTTTCATCTGTTTTCCAACAAATCTGGCCCAGTTACTTATGAAAGGCTGCTCTACAAACCTATCAAGGCTTTAACCTTTCGATGACCTTATTCCAAGTTTAACTTTATAGAAAATTATACAGTTAATATGGCAACACAATTTCGTGAAAACTGAAATTGCACAATCTGTTTGTAGGGGAGTTTGTGGAGGGTTATGTTAGAAATGTTCTGAAAGTAAAAAGTTAAAAATAGTTGTGGGTGGGGAAGGAGGGTGGGGGTATGAAATGAATGAAAAAAAGCCCCTATAAAAGACAATATTTAACTTTGTAATCCATCAGATATTTTTGCTTGCGCCCGATTGGTTTAAATGCATCAGCTGGCGAAATATCCCTAGTTAAAACTGGAGAATATCCGAGAATATATCTTAAGTCTTATTCCCCAATTTTCAAAACTTATACCTCCAGTACGATTAAAGTCTTTGATTGTAACTTTATCCAAGATGAGAGAACGTTTTTTGGTCGTTCCAGAATAAGAAATATGTTTGTTCATAAAATTGTACTAGAGAACATTGAAAAGTAAACGTCCCACGTAAGATTTTTGTCCCGGGCGTTGCAAAATATTTGAAGGATAATAAACAAAATAACCGGCGCGAAAATATGCTCGTATGTTATTCTATGGCTATTATCTGCTCATAAAAGCTTACAGTTTTCCTCGACCTTCGCTCTCAGAAAAGCATTTGTGACGAGTACTATCTTTTCACAACCTCCACTAATTTCATTCAGACGCGACACAAACATTGGCAACTTTTTAGTCAGAAGTTCATTTTAAACTAATGACAACCTGGAACTTTCAAAAGCGCTCTCTCACGATGCAAAACTTATCCTTCCATTCCTAGCGCAGGGAAAATATCGGACCCAAGAGATCCATTAATATTACTGATCACTTTACGAACACCACCAATGTCATTTACTGCATAACTTGCACTTATTGCTAAATGTTATACACTCTGGTGAAATAGGAAGACGACTAGGTGACCGACTCCGAGAACACCTTCCCGATAGAGAACGCCTTCAGAACTGCAAGAGCGTGCTTGCTGCTGTTTAAACTTTTTGTCGTTCTGCGCTAGTTAAATGAAACGGTCATGCTCTTAGTTATTTTTGATGAAACGTGACAGTAATGAACAGCACTGTTTCATTTTTAGGCGCGGTTCATCAATACTGGAAATCTCTTCGGGATGACAGAACAAGAAAAACAAATAAAAAGTTTGAAGAACATCGAAGTCAAATGAAGCAACAAAATCGATTAAAGAGAGTAAGTATCAGATTGAGAACCATATAAGCAAATGTTCAGGAATGTTGAGCTTGATCCTAGCTATGCAACATCGCGTTACAGCTATTTCTAATAAATGAATCCCTGTATTCGAGCTCTTTTCTATGGTTTAACACGATAAATACATATTTTGTCCTTGATAACATGTCATTTAATTAATTGTGTTGCTTTGTCAAAGAAACTTATCAATTTTTATATATACACTTTGTTTTGTATAATACTCACAATTTAAGTTGAAAAAGAAAAATGTGATCTTTACCAGAGGGAAGTACATGTATATCTTGTAACACCAAGGTGTCATTAGTGATAGCCAAAATGCTCCTTGCGCATTTTTTGACACTTTTGTTCTCTGTTTATATCGTTTAGAAACTATCAAGACGCCTTTCAAGCTTAGAGAAGGCTATCTTGTCGGACAACGACAAAGAAAAGGCAAGAGAAATTTTCTGTTCGCCAAATGCCATCGACTTCATGTCATCGGAAGAAAGCGACAACGATGATCCTGCTTCACCTAGGGGTCCGAAACCAAGGAAAGTACGTAAACTGGTGTGGGAGAAAAGTAAACTGAAGAATTTGAAAGCAAAACTGGACGAGGCCTATTTGGAAGGACTTAGCGAAAAGCAGCGTCGTGCAAGTGCACGTTTGACCAGAACCAAAGAGCCATCTGTACGGCCTTGCCCCACCAATGGCCCTCGTTGGGCAATTCGTACCGAATAATTGGACTGAGAGGTTCCTAAGAATAGACATTATTTTAGAAAACACTATAAAGACGTTCATTGTTCTTGGAAAACTTTATGCCTGTTTTCATTTATAGTACTCAGAACAGCCATTGTAACATTTGTTCAAAAGTAATTTGGAATGCGATTTGTTAAATGGTGAAAAGTTTTCTTTCCCAGTCTGACATAGAGACCAAAGTAGATGTATATACTACAAGTATTTTACGAATAGTAGGCTCTGTGATGAATTGAAGCTCTATTTAACTACAACCTTATCTTATGGAAGAAAAATAAATGACGCTTTGGCAAAATATAGCTGTAGTATTTCTTTGACTGAAGGGGAAAACGCCATAAGAGGTGTTCTGTAAATTAATTAATAAGACTTTCCACCTACCATGACCATTATAAGGGTGCGTTTCGGAAAGAAAGAGGGAAAAAAAGGTTTACCAAAGCTAGAAAGTTTCCGCAAGGGTAAGATAAATTTGAATTAACACGTTTCCGAGACGTAAGCTGTAGCGGAAACATGAAACAGACCTCAGTTTCCGGAACGGTTTCTTGTGTTTCCGCAGGTTCCATCACCCATTCAGTAGCCCGGAATACGTCAACGGAAACATGGAAAAGACATGTTTCCGCAACGTTTTCTTGTGTTTCCGCAAATGTAAACCCGAAATTACGATTGCGGAAACATTTGTTTCCTCTAGCTGAAACTTGACGGAAACATGCACAAAAAGTGGTCCGGTTCCGTTGTATACGCAGCAACGGAAACGCGAGAAAACGTCACGAAACCGGTAACGGAAACACAGGTTATCCGTCGTGTTTCCGGAACGGTTTAACATGTTTCTGCCACGTTTCCGTTTACGGATTCTTGCAATTTCGTCCTGTGCGTAAAGCGGTATTATACTTGAATGACTCCGCTGACCGCGTGTTACGCAGGACTGTGTACCTCGATAACAACTGAAAGAGTTAATGATTAGTCAATTATTTTCAACTGTAATTAACAGACGACTTTACTCTCTTTAGTATTCGATATGTGATTTTGATTACCAAATATAAATCGTTGATCGCACAGAAGAACAGCAACAAAAAGAATCCAATCACCTGACGTAACACGACAGCTTGCTTGAAACAAAAATAAGAAACAAGAAGCTTACCTCCCTATAAATAGATATTATTTTGAAAATAGTTATATCTTAAGCTTCTTGACCTTTACTTTTCTTATGACCATAATAAGTAATCCGCTGAATTTGCAGCCTTAAAAGAAGGGGGTAAATAGTCAATGTAGTTAAGATGGAGATGGGCTAACGACGTAGCATCTTAAACCCGTTGCCGTTTCGATCCTCCGTCCACACAAGTGCGACACGTAAAGAACAAAAATTCAAGTATTTTTAGAATAATTTTAAAGAGTCAACAATCAGTCAATTATTTTCAGCTGTAATTGGCAGACGTCTTTATTATCCTGGAAATTTAAACATTGTCAAAGGTAAATCGTTAATCGCACGGAAAACCAGCAAAAAAAAAAAAACAAAAGAATCCAATCACTGGCCTTAGAAATGACAGCGTGCTTGAAACAAGAACAAGAAACAAGAAATTTAGGGTAATTTAGCATTATAAACTGAGTTGATAACGTAAATTCGTAAAGAGTTTAGCAGCTGAAGTTTCAAACGTTAGCCATTCGCCGGAGTGATTGGAGGAATTTTGGGTTGTGTGTGGGTTTATATACGAAAAAAGGAGCTACGCTATCGGTGGGAATGTGGTGACGAGAAAGCAGTAATGAATTAGTTAAATGAAAAGTGCTCATTGATTCCGCAGGGAGTAAGAGTGCCGATTTGAAAGATAAATTTTTGTTCTACAGTTTTGCTTCTTTCCGAACTGCCTAGGTGTAGGGAAAGGTGGAAAACTGCCGTATGCTGCTTGTTAAGGGGTTTTCAGAATCGGTCTTCTATTCGTCTCCCTTCCAAGAAAAAAGAGGCTTACCTCACTATTAATTACATATTTGATAAATGGGACCTCAAGCTTCTTGACCAATAATTTTCTCGTGACCATAAAAAATAATACGGTTGAATTTGCGGTTATAAAAGAAGTGGGTAAATAATGAATGAGCCGGTTAAGATAGAGACAGGCTAACGACATAACGTCTGACACCTGTCGCCGTTTCGTTTCTAAGTGAACACTAATGCGACACGAAGAGAACAAATATTAAAATAATTTAGACGAACTTTGCATCCGTAACCTAACTTAGATATGAAATTAGACTTTCTCTCTTATTTTGCCTGAGCTGATAATTTATCAGGATAAAGCAGCGAGTCCGATCCAAACAACACGTCGACAGATCTGTTGGTCAAAGCATAGGCAGACAATCAGTTGATTGACGACTGACTGTCGGTCGACTTTCGATATTCTAGCACCGAAGGTTTATTTGAGCGAAGTTTTTTTTTCTTTGTGCTGGGAAATTAACTTATCACAAATGCAGTTTTACTTTGCCCTAATTACAAATTCAATTTTTTTTCTCTTTCGTGTGACACACCACACTTCTTTCGGGCATTTTACATTATCAGACGCAAGTGATGACCTTTTACGCTCCGTAATTGCTATCCAAAAACTAATGTTTAACCGACCTTGACTTGGAGGGTGCTGTTAAGACGAAATATTCCTCATTGTAACTAAGGATAACCTGCAAAAGAGTGGACACGACAGCAGGATGATGGCAACAACAAATATAACGGGAAATGGAACACACATTTGAAGGATTGTTCTCTGTAGATGTGTTTCAGTCCATTTCATTATCAGCAGTCAACATTCTCCTGTCCATCGCAGCAACTCTCGGGAATTCTCCTATCCTTGTTGCCCTTCATAAGGAATCTTCCCTCCATCCGCCATCCAAACTCTTGTATCGTTATCTGGCAGCAACTGATCTGTTGGTTGGTCTTGTTACACAGCCCCTCTATGCTACTTATTGAATGTCCGTGGTTCACGAACACTGGAATCTTTTTTAGGTACGCAAGGGACGCAGTTTTCATATCAAGCCATGCATTATGTTCAGTGTCTTTGTCGACGTTGACAGTAATAAGCGTGGACCGACTTCTCGCCCTGTTATTGGGATTGAGATACAAAGAGATCGTAACTTTGAGGCATACGTATATTATTTTAGCTATCGTTTGAGCTGTATGTCTAGTCGCTGGTATGTGCTCTTATCTCAATTACTGTATAGCCATTCGGTGCAGCTTTGTAGGTATATCCTCTTGCCTAGTTGTATTAGTCGCCTCGTACACAAAGATTTTTCGCGCTCTCAGTCATCATCAGGAGAGCCAACCAAATGCACTGAGCATGGTACGATACAGAAAGGCTCTACACAGTGCAGTGTGGGTGCACTTAGCTTTAATTGTTTGTTATGTACCATATTTTACATTGATCATTCTTTGTGAAGTGCGATGTCCGAATGACATCAGAATTGAGGGAATGGCAATTGTCTTAATGTTCTTTAATTCTACTTTAAACCCGTTCCTTTACTGCTGGAAGATAATTGAAGTGAGACAAGCAGTAAAGCAGATAATCAGACGAGCAATCTCTTGCGCACAGGTAGACCTAATATCACGTTGGCTCTTCCTTCTAAAACTTATTTGAAAAATTATATTTGTTAGAAGAGAGGGGAAGATTTGCCATTTTATGATAAAAAAGAGTGAGGAAAATTTGAAGAACTACTTCTAAATAGCATATTGTACTTAAATTATCTAACGAACAACTAACAGGCGAAAAATTGTAGTTTAGTAGCCAATAACAAAACAATAATATGTCGCCAATCTGTGCATTTGTAATGAACTAGTGAAGGCTATCAGTTATTTTGGAATCGGAATGCCCTCAAAATTTTTCTTTGCGATCATATCTTGATGAGATATATCACCTAAGATCAGAAATATGGTTTAGTGATAACGCACTGTTAACGGAGCCAGCCGCTAGATTTTGTCATGATTGGGAATTAGTCAAAATGTTTATAACGAAACGTTGTAAATTGAAGATGCGGACTTTGTTAACAGCTGTTCAAACATACAGAAGGAATGCTTAGAAATGAAGTTGATCATCTCTGTTTCACATGGAGTTATCGTTTGAGACCAGTCGTTTGCCTAAGATTAAGCTCGCAAATAATGACAGAAGGAAATTATAAGAAGGAATGATTTAAAAAAAAACTCTGACATGGTTGAAACGAATAGCCATTCTACAGTATGTTACCAACATCAATTAGAACTGTTCATCGAGTTGCCTCGTGAGTCTGCACTATTTTGACCACCGTGAAGACGAATATCGTTGTCGATAAGAGCACAGACCACAATAAACATGGCCACGGTCGATCTGTTAAATGGAGAGTTTCCTGCTAGCAACTAACTATGTATAGTAAATACAAGATGATTAGCAGAAAAAAAAAATTGTCCGAAACGAAGGACAATTTGTATTGTTAAAGGTGTTTTTCGTTAACTGTTCATCGCTACATCTATTTTCACACTTTTCAGGGCATAAAGGCAGAGATCAATGCAATTTGATCGGTAGAGACATTGTCATTATGTCAAAGATCCAGTCAAGTTCGACACGTAGAGAACAAAGAAAATAATTTTATTTTATTTTTTTTAGTGGTAACTATGCATCTGTAACCATATATGAATTCTGAGTAGTTTTATGTAATACAGCTTTCAGTTTTCCCCAATACCGATTAACGTTCTTAAAAACGTATTTTTACCTTCAACTAAGATAATTCATGCGCTCTAAGTTTACGTAAATTATAAATTAAAAGTCGCCAAACCACCTTATATCGATAAAAGTTTTAATCTCTGGTTTATTCTTTCATCTCAATTACCGTGTAGCTTTGGAGGTATATCATCGTTCCTGGTAATCTCAACCGCCTTGTATATAAATATTTTCATATTTTGGTGCTCTCAGTCATCATCTGGCTCAAGTGTAAGATCATGTAAAACATGAGAAAGAATAAACCTGAAGACTAGAGATACAATCCAA